TGAGCGCACGGAAGAGGTAACCGCGATCTGTGCACCTGCCACTGAAGATTATGATAATTTGCCACTCCCAGATCTCCTAGACCAAGAGGGCCAGAGCGGAGACCTGGGAGAAGTACAGTTAGGAGAACGGTTAGACCCCCAGGAGCGAACCCAGGTCCAAAGACTAATCCAGGACAAGGGGGCCACGTTTTCCAACCTACCTGGGTACAGTCCGTTAACCACTCACAAAGTTGAAACCCTAGACCAGACCCCCCTTCGCCAAACCGCCTATCGCATACCCGAAGCAGTTAAAGAAAATATGCGGAAAGAAATTGAGGAAATGATGCAGTTAGGGGTGATAGAACACTCTGACAGCCCCTGGGCCTCCCCGGTAGTACTAGTACCGAAACGGGACGGCACGACCTGTTTCTGTGTAGACTACCGGAGGCTAAACGATAAAACAACCTCAGACGCCTACCCTATGCCCCGGATAGACGAGCTCCTAGACAAAATGGCCAGAGGCCAGTACCTCACCACAATAGATCTGTGCAAGGGGTACTGGCAAATTCCATTAGCCGAGGACGCCATCCACAAGTTGGCATTTGTCACCTCGTTTGGCCTGTATCAGTTTAAGGTCATGCCATTTGGGATGAAGAATGCCCCGGCTAACTTTCAGAGGATGGTAGATCGGCTACTGGATGGGTTTCAGGAGTATGCCTGCGCCTACTTGGATGATATAGCCATTTTTAGCTGCTCCTGGCCCGAACACCTGACCCACATAGGAGCCGTACTAGACCGGATTAGGGAGGCCAGACTGACCCTAAAGCCCAGTAAGTGCCATATAGGAACGCGTAAAACCTCCCCAAGATAGTAGTATGGGCCCCAGAGTGTGAACAGGCTTTCCAACAGCTCAAGACGGCGCTCATTAAATCACCTGTACTTTCTACTCCTGATCCAACTAAACGCTTTCTCGTCCATACAGACGCTTCTATGTTTGGAAAAAGATGCTTGGTCGGTCCTCCTTCTTCAAATTTGGGGCACTGCGCGTGCAATCTAATGTGCCACCAGATAGGAGTGGTGTGTTAAGTAGTTCTATTCTTATCAGTTTAATCCCAATGTCACGACTACTAGTGTGGTCCAGCACGCAGAAACTATGTAAACATATACATAGGCAAGAAAAGGAAAATAAAAGGACAGAGCGTAAACCGGACCTTAGAATTGCCGGACTAATACGCTAGAGACAGAGAATGGTCAAAGGGAAAGCCGAAGGTCAAGGAAGCCAGAAAATACACAATACCGTTTACACAAGCCAAGTCAGGGAAACCAGAATTCAGAATAACCAGGGAAAAGCCAAGATCAGGATACCAGGAAATCAGATTCACAATGATAAAGCACTCTTGTTATGGACAGATGAATTAAAATAAAATGGCTATTTACTAATGTCTATTTATTCTGTGTTCACTATGTTAAAACTGGCTGCTAGAGTAAATATTCCCTTCCCCCCCTACAATGTGTTCAGTTGCTATTTCCTCTGTAAATTCCTCATCTTGCTAGCATCCCCCTTCCTTTCAGAGCAAGCCTCTTGTAACCAAAATTCCTGTGTTAACAGCTTCCTTTACTAACTCCTCCCCCACTTCCTTTGTGCCAGTTAACAGCTATATGCCACGTGTAACAAAATGGAGAATCACTGTTAAAGTAACTGAAAGAAACTACTCACTCCCCCTCCCATCGTGTATCCAGGAGCTGGAATATAGGCGGGAGAAGTCTGTAATGATGACACTACATCCTGTAGGGGGGTTTAGACAAGACCCCTTAGACTGTTAACCAATTGTTGAATGTATATTGTATGTTTAACTGTGACTCTGTACATGACGTATTTCTGCTTTAAAAGGAACTCCCACTCCAGGGAATAAAGGCATTCCTCAGGTTTTTCACTGATCAGAAACTTTGTCTCTGGTGTGAATTACTTCTAGGGAAAGCGTGCATGCATTAATTAATCAATTTGGAAGGAGTAGATATAATCAAAGTTTTCTTTGATCCAAATCACTCTCAGGAAAAAAGGAACAGGAAACCACGACAGGGCAAGGTACTGGGGTGAGCTAGGGATTTAAATATCACGCGGCGGGACCGCAGCCGCAACACCCTGTTACGTCCCCCTCATCAGGCCTTTTTTAGTCGAATATATCGCCCACTGTCAGTCCCTTCGGGATCCATCCCTCATTCATCTTAATAAAAGTGAGGTAATCTAGACTTTTTTGACCTAGGCGACTTCTCTTCTCAGTGACAATACCTCCTGCTGCACTGAAGGTCCTTGAAGCGGGGGCAGGCCAGAAGTTCTATCGCAAATTGGGATAGCTCAGGCCACAGGTCAAGCCTGCACACCCAGTAGTCAAGGGGTTCATCGCTCCTCAGAGTGTCGATATCTGCAGTTAAGGTGAGGTAGTCTGCTACCTGTCGGTCGAGTCGTTCTCTGAGGGTGGATCCCAAAGGGCTGTGGCGATTCGTAGGACTTAAAAAGCTCTGCATGTCCTCCATCAACAACACGTCTGTAAAGCGTCCTGTCCTTGCCGGCGTGGTCGTGGGAGGAGGAGGATTACTTTCACCTCTTCCCCTGTTAGATTCCCGTTGTGCTGTGACATCACCCTTATATGCTGTGTAAAGCATACTTTTTAATTTATTTTGCAAATGCTGCATCCTTTCTGACTTGTTGTAATTTGGTAACATTTCAGCCACTTTCTGCTTATACCGGGGGTCTAGTAGAGTGGACACCCAATACAGGTCGTTCTCCTTCAGCCTTTTTATACGAGGGTCCCTCAACAGGCACGACAGCATGAAAGACCCCATTTGCACAAGGTTGGATGCCGAGCTACTCATTTCACGTTCATCCTCCTCGGTGATCTCAATGAAGGTATGTTCTTCCCCCCAGCCACGTACAACACCACAGGTACAAGATAGGTGACAACGAGCACCCTGGGATGCCTGTTTTGGTTGGTCTTCCTCCTCCTCCTCAAAGCCACATTCCTCCTCTGACTCCTATTCAGATGCTGATAAGGCTCCTCTTCCGATGCTGATAAGGCTGTTTCTGGTGGTGATGGTGACCACAACTCTTCCTCCTCACGCTCATCTATGGACTGATCCAGCACTCTTCGCAGGGCACGCTCCAGGAAGAAAACAAATGGCATGATGTCGCTGATAGTGCCTTCGGTGCGACTGACTAGGTTTGTCACCTCCTCAAAAGGACGCATGAGCCTACAGGCATTGCGCATGAGCGTCCAGTAACATGGCAAAAAAATTCCCAGCTCCCCAGAGGCTGTCCTAGCACCCCGGTCATACAAATATTCATTAACGGCTTTTTCTTGTTGGAGCAGGCGGTCGAACATTAGGAGTGTTGAATTCCAACGTGTCGGGCTGTCGCAAATCAAGCGCCTCACTGGCATGTTGTTTCGCCGCTGGATATCGGCAAAGTGCGCCATGGCCGTGTAGGAACGCCTGAAATGGCCACACACCTTCCTGGCCTGCTTCGGGACGTCCTGTAAGCCTGTGTACTTATGCACAAAGCGTTGTACGATCAGATTACACACATGTGCCATGCACGGCACATGTGTCAACTTGCCCAACTTCAATGCCGCCAACAAATTTGTTCCGTTGTCACAAACCACTTTGCCGATCTCCAGTTGCTGCGCAGTCAGCCACTTTTCCACCTGTGCGTTCAGGGCGGACAGGAGTGCTTGTCCAGTGTGACTCTCTGCTTTCAAGCAAGTCAAACCCAAGACGGCGTGACACTGCCGTATCCGGGATGTGGAATAGTACCTGGGGAGCTGGGGGGGGGTGCCGTTGATGTGGAGCAAGATGCAGCAGCAGAAGAGGACTCAGCCAAGGAGGTTATGGAAGAGGATGGAGTAGGAGGAGTAGAGGAGGTGGCAGCAGGCCTGCCTGCAAGTCGTGGCGGTGTCACCAACTCCTCTGCAGAGCCACGCATTCCATGCTTGGCAGCCGTCAGCAGGTTTGCCCAATGCGCAGTGTAGGTGATATACCTGCCCTGACCATGCTTTGCAGACCAGGTATCAGTGGTCAGATGGACCCTTGCCCCAACACTGTGTGCCAGACATGCCATTATTTCCTTTTGCACAATCGAGTACAGGTTGGGGATTGCCTTTTGTGAAAAGAAATTTTGTCCGGGTACCTTCCACTGCGGTGTTCCAATAGCTACAAATTTTTTGAACGCCTCAGACTCCACCAGCTTGTATGGTAAAAGCTGGCGGGCTAATAGTACAGACAAGCCAGCTGTCAGACGCCGGGCAAGGGGTGACTTTCTGACATTGGCTTCTTACTCTCAAACATGTCCTTGACAGACACCTGACTGTGGGCAGATGAGTAGGAACTGCTCAAGGCGAGAGACGGAGTGGCAGATGGTTGAGAGGGGGCAAGGAGGACAGCAGTGGTTGACGTGGCTGAAGATGATGGACCAGGAGGAGGATGGCGGCTTTGAGTTTGTGTGCTGCTTGTACTCATGTGTTGATCCCATAGGCGTTTGTGATGTGCGATCATGTGCCTACGCAAAGCAGTTGTACCTAGGTGGGTGTTGGACTTCCCACGACTCAGTTTCTTTTGGCACAGGTTGCAAATGGCATCGCTGTTGTCAGAGGCAGACACACAAAAAAATGCCACACTGCTGAGCTCTGCAATGACGGCATTCTGGTGGTGGACACAGCATGCGTTGATTGGCGTGCTGTCGGGCTGACCCCTGGGTGCCGATGCATGCTGTCTGACTGTGCCACTAGCTCCTTGCGACGACCTCCCCCTGCTTCCAACTCGTCTCCTCCTCCTCTCTGTCTCCCCATCTGAACTTTCGCCCTGTTCTTCTTCTTGCCGAGCGGGAACCCACGTGACATCCATGGACGCATCGTCATCATCAACCACTTCACTTGTATCTGACAACTCAGAAAGGAAGCAGCAGCGGGTACAACATCATCATCATCTCACCGTACATGTGTAATGCTGCCTGACTGAGACATATCCCTGTTATCTACATCCTGTGTCAATAATGGTTGCGCATCACTCATTTCTTCAAACGTATGTGTAAATAACTCCTCTGACATACCAAGTGAAGCGGCTGTGGTGCTAGTGTTGGTGGTGGTGGCAGGCGGGTGAGTGGTATCTTGAGAGGTGCCCGAAGCTAAGCTGGAGGAGGATGTTGCGCCAAGGTTCCGAGCGGAAGCTGTAGAAGATTGGGTGTCCTGTGTTAGCCAGTCAACTATGTCCTCAGAACTTTTCAAGTTCAGGGTACGTGGCCTCTGAAAACTGGGCATTATTCTAGGGCAAAAGGGAATCACAGCACCACCACCTCGACAGCCCCTGCGGGGTGGCCTGCCTCTGCCTGTCATTTTTTTTTGATTAGTGTTACTATGCGTGCAAGCTACTGTGACACCAGATATGAGTGGCAATGTGCACTGGCAAAGGTTGGCAGAGTACACGTTGTAGGCCTGATACACCCGCTTGAAGACAACTAACTGGTTGGTTTTTAAATGCACGCTATTGTGACACCAGTGAGTGAGTGGTGGCACTGGGCACAGTATCCACTGTGAGCCTCACACAGACGCTGGCAGACAACTAACTGCTATTCAATCTATAACAGTGAAAAAAGTTTTTGGGTTTTTAAGTGCACGCTATTGTGACACCAGATATGAGTGGCACTGTGAACTGGCAGAGTACACGCTGTAGGGCTGACACACCCGCTTTGAGACAACTGCTATTCAATCTATAACAGTGAAAAAAGTGTTTTGGTTTTTAAAAGCACGCTATTGTGACACCAGTGAGTGAGTGGTGGCACTGGGCACAGTATCCACTGTGAGCCTGATACACCTGCTGGCAGACAACTAACTGTTATTCAATCTATAACAGTGAAAAAAGTTTTTTGTTTTTAAATGCAAGCTATTGTGACACCAGTGAGTGAGTGGTGGCACTGGGCACAGTATCCACTGTGAGCCTGACACAGCTGCTTTGAGACAACTAACTGCTATTCAATCTATAACAGTGAAAAAAGTTTTTTGGTTTTAAATGCATGCTATTGTGACATCAGTGAGTGAGTGGTGGTACTGGGCACAGTATCCACTGTGAGCCTGACACAGAAGCTTGCAGACAACTAACTGCTATTCAATCTATAACAGTGAAAAAAGTTTTTTGGTTTTAAATGCAAGCTATTGTGACACCAGTGAGTGAGTGGTGGCACTGGGCACAGCATCCACTGTGAGCCTGACACACCCGCTTTAAGGACACTGACTGCTATTCAATCTATAACAGTGAAAAAAGTTTTTTATTTTTAAATGCAAGCTATTGTGACACCAGATATGAGTGAGTGGTGGCACTGGGCACCGTATCCACTGTGAGCTTAACACACCCGCTTTAAGGACACTGACTGCTATTCAATCTATAACAGTGGAAAAAGTTTTTTGTTTTTAAATGCAAGCTATTGTGACACCAGATATGAGTGGTGGCACTGACTGGGCAAATGGGCACAGTATCCACTGTGAGCCTGACACAGAAGCTGGCAGCAGTGGCAGACAACTAACTGCAATTACATTACACACACACACAAAAAAAAAGCATACCCTAACCCTAACCTAGCTATGCATTTCCCTATCTAATCAACAGCAGCTACACTTTCCTTTCTCTCACTAAGCATGCAGCTTGAGAATGAATGTAAAATGGATGCCTTCCAGTAGGTGGGAGGGTCTGCTAGGGAGGGTGTGCTGCTAATTGGCTGGAATGTGTCTGCTGACTGTGAGGTACAGGGTCAAAGTTTACTCAATGATGATGAATAGGGGGTGGATCGAACCGCGCATATGTTCGCCCGCCGTGGCAAACACGCTATGTTCGCCAGGAACTATTCGCCAGCGAACCGTTCGGTACATCACTAATCCCCAGATAGCCTGGGTCTGAGTGCACATAACTACCGAGTAGCGCTCAGACCCAATGCACACAGTTCAATCACCATGGAGTCAAAGTCTTTCACATTGCTCTTTCGGTATACGATTGACTACATAGGATGACTATCTGGGTTGTTCATTTGTGTAATAAATATCCCGAACAGACCAGCGTTTCCATGCCCGTGGATAAGAAGGGCGGTAGGCAGCTTCAGCGGTGTTCAGTAGAAAAAGTGTCTGTTTTTAGTTCCATAAGTTCTTCGTCGAACAGCACTGTTCATTCGCGCGTTTAAATGGCCGCCGCCTCGTGGTCGGCATACGAACGCCGACCACCCTGCATACGGTTAGAATGAAGAGGTGTCTGCGGTTAACCACAACATTCTAATTGAGGCCAATAGGTTAACCAGCAGCACACTTCTCTTCTGAGTCCCCGTTTGTTCAGTAGTTTTATTCGGTATATTTTGCAATAAACTAACAGGGGCATACGTGCAGGTAATTCCACGAATGTACACAAAACAGACGAACCAGTAAAATGGAATTTAGACAGATGGATCTGTCACAAACACTATGGGACAGGGGAGGGGGTTAATAACACTATGGGGCAGGGGAGAGGGGGGGAAGAACACTATGGGAAGGGGGGAAGAACACTGGGACAGGGGAGTGGAGAAAAGAACACTGGGACAGGGGAGTGGAAAAAAGAACACTGGGACATGAGAGGGAGGAGAAAACACTGAAGCAGGGGAGAAAAGAACACTATGGAACTGGGGAGAAGGGGGGAAAGAACTGTAAAATATGTAACAATACCTTACCTTTCCTCTCCAAAATTGCCGGTCACCCTGGTATCCATAAAACTGAATCACTAATTGAAAAACAATTTTGGTGGCCTTCATACAAAAAAGATGTTTGGGAGTATGTTCTTGCCTGTAACATCTGTTCTTCTACTAAAGTACCCAAAGGTCGGCAATTTGGACTCCTCGTGCCATTACCTATTCCTAATAAACCCTGGTCAAGTATCGCCATGGATTTTATAGTAGACCTACCCCCTTCAAAAAAATCATAGTGTGATATTAACTATCATTGATAGATTCTCGAAGATGACACATCTTGTTCCATTAATTAAATTGCCATCCTCCTCAGAACTAGCGACTTTGTTTATAAAAGAAGTAGTTAGATTACACGGTATTCCTGATGATATAGTTTCTGTGGCAAAACCGACCTCGTCACTGGGCATTGGAGAAGACTGATTGCCAGCCTCCTGCCATATGACTATGGCCCCTGGGATGTATTACCCTTTAAAGACACCATTTCATGTATCAGAGGCACATGATGAGAACAATGGATGGAGCACATGATGAGAACAATGGATGGCAGCCATTTTAACTCACAGACACTGTTTGGACTTTTCTACACGGTGCCATCTCGCCAGTATTTGGTGCACGAAGACATCGTTCAGTAGTTTTAAACTATACAACAGGGGACACTTTATACAGTTATTATTTTTCATATAGCCTGTATATGTTCTGCGGAATCTGCATTAAACTGTATCTTCCAAACTACTGAACGGATCTGGGTGAATTTTGGATATGTGGTTCACCCAGATCTTCCGGCTCCAATGATATCTTTATGTAAAACCCTGTGGGCAGTACTAAGCTTGTGCATAGGGAATAAAAGAGGCTGTATGTGCCAGTACAGTCAGTTCCTGCTTAACCCTCAAAGTGAAGTGTCGTCTCATTATTGGGGGAGGATTTATTGTATGCTGTTTCAGTTTGACTGCTAGGAGTGTAAACCTATTCGCATGTTTTTTCCTATTCGGCTGTATACAACATTCATATGCTTGAGAGCATTCATATGCTCCTACGGTTCGGTGGTTTTGGTGTCTGCTGCAGTGCTTGGAGTCCTCAGGAAGTGCTAGGAGCATCCTTCAACGGAGGTACTCAGTCGGGGTGCCAGGTAATCCGTTACAGTTTCCGACAGAGGTTCACAATTTGTTTCTTGTTTCTGGAGGGCATTCTGTAACCAATTGGGTATTCATCTTAATCTTTCTTCTTCGTACCATCCACAATCTAACAGTGTTACTGAAATGATGAATGAATCACTTGAACAATACATATGCTGCTTTACTTCCGAACATCAAGATGATTGGGTGGAACTACTTCCTTGAGCCGAATTTGCCTACAATAATTTGGTTCACAAATCTATGCAACACAGTCCCTTTTTTTGTCAATTATGGTTTTGACCCCACTACTGTTCCGAGTTCCTTTTCCTCTACTGGAGTGCCAAGTGTAGACAACACTGTAAATAGTATTAAAGAAACTTGGTTAGGGTTTAAATATATATTGGTTCAAAAGGCTGAATCACAGAAGTACAAGGCAGATAGACATCGCAGAGCTGCATCTAATTTTGTGGCAGGGGACAGGGTATGGTTGTATATGTGCAATATAAAATGAAGAGTTCCCTCAATGAAGTTTGCGCCACGTTTTATTGGTCCCTTCAAAGTACTCAATCGCATTAATCCAGTTTGTTACCATTTACTCTTGCCATTCTCTATGAAAATTCCTAAATCCTTTCATGTTTCCCTCCTTAAGCCCTTGAATCGTTATACACGTAAACCCTCGAGACCTCCTGCGACTATGGAGGGTCAAAACAAATTCAAAGTGAAAAAATTTTGGACTCCAGTATTTCCAGGGGAAAACTCCAATATCTTTTGGACTGGAAAGGGTATGGCCCAGAGGCATGCTCATGGGTTGATGCCTCTGATGTCCATGCTCCTCGCCTGGTTCGTTTATTTTAGAGACGTTGTTTCCGTAGGCCGGATACTACCCGCCCAGTGGATCTCGGGGTACTGTAACGATACCTTACCTTTCCTTTCCAGACCCGCACAGCGCAGTGTCCTCTCTTCTTGCTTCCGGGAGGTGGCAAAGCCTCTCGGGTGCCAGCCGCTCCAGATACGCCTCTTCTTATGACATGGCGCATGAGTGCCGATGTCAGCATTATTTTCCCGCGGGTACTCAAACATTACCATGCCCCAGGACCTTTTGGGGGCATGGATTTAAAGCTAAAGGAACCACACTATAAAAAGGCATCTTTTCCAATTGTTCAGCACCCAATTGTGGTTCTTGATAGTTCCCTTTAGTGCTCTTGAGATCATTTATTTGTATTTACTGGTATTTGACTTTTGGCTTTTCTTCTTACTATTCTACTCTCTGGTTTCCTGATTTTGGCTTGGTTATTCTCGTGTGCCTGCTTTCCGTACTCCCTTGACTCTTGGCTATTCCTTTGACTACTCCTTGGCGTTTTGAGTCTGGCCATACTAAGGTCC